TATTTCAAAACTTGCAAGTTCTAAAAACTTTAATCTTAACTAAACTCGAACGTTTCAAGAAAGAGTATTAAAAACAAATATTGTGGAGGAAGTACCAGACAAATATGATGCAAATAGAATTTTCGAACAATTTTCTATTAATAATCATAAAGCACTAGTGCAATTAATCTTATGATACTCAAAACATCTTTTGACCTAATATTGAAATTAAATTTTTCATTTCAGATCAGTCAGTTGTACAAAATGAAAATTACTCGTGTTGCGATTTTGTAATCGAATTAATTTGCATTCAAAAAGTGATGAGTTATTTTTTATAATCAAAACTTTTTAAAATTACTGGTTAAATTTTGTTTTTCTGTTAGATTACTTCTGCTTTTTCTAGACTCTACTAATCTTTATCATTTTTTGTCCTCAAAACTTGCTGGTTTCACAAGACAACCGCAAAAATTTCTTCAGGCGAAGCAGATGTAACATAACTTTGCCTGCAGGTTAATAGTACGTGTATCCAATCTCATTTATATTGATGGCGAGTAGTCAAAGCCTCAATTATATCTCTAAGATATTTAAGTAGCGGTTTTGAACTGAGAACGAAGCTATTCTTGACCGTAGACATGTTTTACCTACCAAATCTTTGAAGATTTCACTGTAAATTTGACACTACAATAAAGACCGTTATTAAAAAAATACAATCATTCGCAAAATTTAAGTTTTTGTTTAATCTCAATTCTTACAGATTTTAATTGCAATCCTGAGGTTATGGTTAAATTTAAAAAATAAAATAAACACTTAAAATATTAAACACTTAATATTCATAGTTAGGAACTAATAATACGTATTCGGTATTAACTAATTAGAATTCGCATATCTTGTTTAACAAGACAATAAGTGTTCAAAATCAGTACTTTTGTCGAATCATCTGTTTAAATGTATGCCAGGTTTATTTGTCTGAGCAAATGTTTTCAAATTTTTAGACAGTTAAAAGCAGATTATTCACTTTCTTTTTATGAATTTTAATCCTTAATGACCGAAAACCTTAAGCTTGTGCACTTCTATTGAAATAAATTTCACAAGTTGAAATCTTATCTGCCAAATATTCCACAAAATTCATTAAAAATAAGCTTCCGTTAATCAGTTTTAAAACTATTTTATTTTTAAAGTTTTTAATAATTAAACTAAAGCTGCTAAAAATTTGAATAGATAAGATCAAAACGCACTCTTCTAATTAAGATTTTTCGAAACATTCTACAAATTTATAAGTAATTTATAGAAGATCTTGTATTAGAGGGAAAACTTTAACACAAACCTTAGCTATAATATATCTTAAAATTTTAAGCTTCCGTTTACTTTAAAAATTCAGTTCAAATGTTCTAAAATGTGTTTCAAAACTAAAATTAAAATATAAACTACTAAAATTGAACTATTAATAATTAGTTTCTCATGTTCATTAACCTTAGAATACAGGGTAGTTTGTGTTTTAAATGGCATTGTTTTGGAATTTCTTATAAAGTTAAATATAGCAAATTTCAAGCTAGACTGCATTACAAATTTTGCAATAATCCACTGAATTGCAGTTTTCTATTAAACTGGACTGTAAATTCGCCTGCAACTATAACCTTAAAAAAAAATTTAAATTTTTTTCCAAATTATTTTGAAATACACTTCGTAAGATATGAAAAAATTACTGTTATAAATCATTAAGTTTAGTATTAATCGTCACAAAATCCAAAGTTGGTGATCTTAAAGCATGCTTAAATTTCGAGTTTATACTAAAGCTTTGGATAGTGGAATAGTAAATTAAGCCATTATCCTCCGAATCGCATTGAATTATTAAATTCTTACTAAGCAATATGATATAAACGAGCAATTTTTTATTGTTTAAAAGGATATCGGATTAGCTTTCTATTTATGGTACGTTCATTATTAATACCATCATTGACCAAATTCCAGCATTTTGGATTGATTGCAACATGCAAATAGAAAATTTCAGCAATTTGTTTGCTGGCGATTGTGAAATGACTAAATTTCAGTCATGCTGCCGGATGGGTCTATAAGTAGATAAGAAGTTAATAAGAATTGAAAGTCCACTTTTACAATTAAAAGTCAAATATAACAGATGCTAGAACAGAATGAGCCTTACGCTTAAATTTCAACACAATAATATAAAACTTAAAGAATTTCTGAAACTAATCCTTTACTTCCGGGGAAATTTTTATTTCGTTATGCTCCCTTTAACCTGAAATGAGAATCCGTAATCTGATATGTAAATGCTTATGAAAGTATTTCACTTGTTTGTTAAATTTTATATTAGCTTAACTGCCGTTTAATAATACATCCTTGGACATTTTAAACGATTAATACAAATGTTTAAATTTTGTTCAGGCAACACTTGTTATAATGAAATTAGTGTTTACATACATAAATTTTGGAATAAATGTTTCCTTTTAAGTTTATAAATCAAATTTTGATCTGTTTTAGGATTGCTTGAATAATTCTAAAATTATGAATGCTCTCAAAATACATGTAACTCCATTTTTCAAAATATTTGTGCAAAGTCTGTCTTAAAGATTCTCAAATCAATGTAAGTCAGACCTTCCCAAAGAGTTTAAAGCATTTTATCCCAATGAAAATCGCTATAATACTAAAATTCAATCTTCAAATTTAATATTTAAGGGAAGACAAATTGCAGTTTTATTCCACCAATAAGACTAGACTTTAAATTGAGAGTGCATCATAATTTTAATAAAAATCTTGCAATTAACTTTGCGATCCAAATAAAAATTTGGTAATTTTTACAATAGGATTTTAAAGGAAATAGCATGTTTTATGAAATTGAGTAGCTCTTAAGAATTTAAAACTTTTACATACGGTCGTAGATCTGGGTTTGACTATTTTAAAGAGGTTTTAGCTATAACTCTTTCTAAAAATTAAGCGTAATCTTTTCAATTAGTCTTTTTTTTTCTTCCCTTTAAGTAATGAAGCAAACTTAGCTCCGTCAACATCAGTAATTCACATTAAGAATTTATTCCTTAAGCTTTGCAACGCTAGAAATTTCTTATTTTTATCTGTTCTGCTCTTTTTCTTAATTGCTTAGCTTTATTCACTTGAAACTACACAAATTCTATAAATTTTCAACAGCTTGTGACAAATTAGTTCAAATACTTTAATTTTTTTTAAATATATCCACTTTTATTTTGTATGATAGCTTATTTTTTTCTCAATCTTTAGTATTGTTTAAATGAAACATTCAAAAATAAGACTGGATCATTAGCAAAAGGGTTTTAGACAAGACTAATAAAAACATTGTCTTTAACGTGGTATTTAAAATTTTTCCAAAACCTTGTAAACTCAACTTTCAAGTCTTAATATAAGGATAAATATTCTCAAACGTAAATCCTTTTTTCACAAACTTTAAGGATTTGTAAAAGGTTTCATAATATTAAAATAATCCTTTCCACTTTTGTAAGTCATTAAATGAATTTTGTCCTTAACTTATGGTGTAATTCTAGCATGACATGAATGCGTGACTAAAGTAACATTGTGTCCATATAAAATCAATATTTCACCTTGATAAGTCTTCAAAGGTCTCTCTTGCTTAGTTGTCACGAAAGTATTAAGGCAAATGACTATTTAACCCTAGCTACCCTTTTGCATTGAACAAAATTGCTTTGTCACTTTCTAATCTCTATTGTTCGCAACAGAAACTCTTTATGGGACAGCTATTTTTGCTGTTACAGTAAGGCTTTTCCATCTAGCAAATTGAGACTAAATAGCCTTGCGTCGTGCTCTTATCCAAGCTTTCCTTTAATATCTTCTATCAAGAATTTGACAAATTAAAGATCCGTGGATTGATGGTACTTTAACTTAATTTTTAGTTTGAAGCTGGATTTTTCTTAGACTAGGTTACTAGTCCAGATCTAACATAGCGGTATTAACCTCTTAAGATATGTTGCTAACGACTAAAATTTGGATTTTTACCATTAAAACTTTCAAAACTTTGCAAAGCTTAAGGAAATTTAGAGGGAGAAACGCTTTCATTGTAGCAGTCCTGTTAAAGTTAAGATAGTTTCTTCTTGCAATGACTCACTTTCAGTTAGTGTTAAATGATAGTTTATGATAGTTTCTTCTCTGATATATCTAATATATTTAAATCTTAATTTGCAGTTTTCTTTTCAAAACTGATCTTATTTGATAAACAAAATTAGCTTACACAATTCAGCTTTTTAATTATCTAGTTTTAAATTAAAAATTTTACATATTCCAATAATATATTTCAATCAAACTTGAAGATATTTCATTAGAAATAAACTGTTGTAAAGTGTAATACTAATTCAATAAAAATGTAAAATTGTTGTAGCATTTAATTGCTTCGGCAATATGTAAATGGTAAAGTGTTCTTTATCGCAATTTTCGTACATCAACATTTGAAAATTTCATGATAAATAGAATGTTAATTAGTTCAATTTATGATATATTTGTTTGCTTTTCACACATTAACGTAACTGTAACTAGTAACTGTAATTTGATGGAAAAATATAGAATTAAGTTCATCAAAAGTGATCTTAGCAGGTATTGAGAGCACGGCTACGTAAGCTAAAACTATCTACCTAAACTTTACTAAGTTCCTTGGTTTTTAAAATTAACGGAGTCATTAGCTATCTCAGTTTCTTAGTTTTGGAAACAATATTTAAAGGTAAAAACAATTGTGCAATTTATAACAAAACAAATATTTTAATATTCAGTAATTTTCAGAAATGTTAAGTTTTCTGAAGTAATTATTTTTCGCAATACTGTTTAGAAAGTAAAATTGATTTACGGTAAAGAAACACTTCGAATTTATGGACAGTAAGCTGTCTTAAGTTTTAAATGCTTTTAACCAATGTTTGTTAGCTGTGTTTAACGATTGGTTAAAATCAATAATTTAACTATTTTTGCCAAATATTACAATATTTCAGAAATTCAAATTTCTGAACCGTAATTGTTCAAACTTTGTAATTTTCCAGTTCTAGTCTTAATGCTACCATGGTAAGCCGGCGGAAAATTCTATCCAGATCACGAGATGGCCTGAATACAGATTTCCTTCAAGAAGAGGAAGATGATGTGTGGTTTCAAAAAGAACGTTTATTCAAGGTAAGGACTAAAATTTTATAAATTTTACTTGTTTATACATGTAGGGGAATCAAAACTAGTAAGGAAACCTTAAGAAATCTTATTAAATTTGAAAAAGTTCGGAATGTATAATATAGTTAAACATATTTTCTGCCTTTTTCGACTCCTTTAAATAACCATAAGTGTTCTAGTGAATCTCTTTCGCCCTCATTCTTACTGCTTTTCGTCCCAGTTTACAGCATATGTGCAACTTATTGTAAACTTTGAGCTTGGCACTATATAGTTGCATCTGGCTCTAGGGGTTTACTCTAAACTTTCTAAAACCATAGGTTTTCTATCACTAAGTATCTAAATTTGATGAGAATGAGATTTATTGACTTATCCTTGCTATTAAGATCTTCTTTGTTTTACTTAATCAGAAATCATTTTTGTCTTGCTACATGGGGATATCGTTAAACAATACTAGGGTCTTAATATTTTTAAATGAAGAATCAAGTATTTTTACTCCTATGCAAGAAAATATTTCATTCTGCAACAGAATCCTATTTCTCGATGAACATTTTCTAAGAGTTTGGGGCATGAATAAATTCTTACTTCAGTTTGAAATATACTGCTAACTTACAAAGGCCTTAAACTAATTTGTCAATCAGTATAGTTACAAAGTATTTAAACATGTGAAATTACTTTTTCTTCATTAATAGGAGAAAGATTGGGCATAAAAGAATTTTCAACAAGAAATTGAAGCTATGATAGTTATTTTAAGCTAAATAAAAAACTAAATATTAGATTTTTCAGTTGTTGCCACATTCTATGAGAAAGTTTCGAGTTTCGTATAACTTATTTTATGGAGAACAGAAATTTCATTCTACTTGAAATTTTACATTGTCATTAGTGTATACGAATTTTTAAGTTGGAAAAGCACTAAGTTTTACAAAGCAAAATTTGAAATTTGTTTAGATTTCATTAAGTTTGGGCTTGGTTTGTCTTCGGAAAATTACAATATGGCTTGGTGTCCAATTTTCAAAATGATCTCTAGATTAAACCAATAAGTCTAAATATTTCGTATCTCTCTACAAATGTATTCAGTTTCCAAATTTTAAAAATTTCTGAACATTGTGTCTTTAGTTTCAAAGGTTAAGGGCAACGTTTCCAACTATTTATCCTAATTATGCAAAATAAAAACTAGACATGGGTGAACTTTTTATTTTGGACAGAGTGCATAGTTTTAATGGGAAATAATGACCCCAAATTTAACACTTTTGCGAAATTTGAGGAAATGTGTTATATAATATACTTTACACCTACATTTCAGTATTTAAAGTGTGTTAATAAAGATTTTAAATTAAGAATTTTAAGAAAGTTTCGGACAAGCTAGGAGTGATTCAGTTGATTTTAAAATTCTTTAGGAAACTGAATATTCTGACTTATGGAATTAATGTAAAAATTGACTGTAGATTGTTTTAAAAAATAAAACTATCTCGTTAATTTGTTTGAATATAATATTTGGTTTTTGTAGAATCACCCTACTATAATTTTTTGATTTTTTTTTCCTTGAAATGAAGTGTATTGTCTACTTTGAAATGAACAAATGGAATGGAAACAAATGTAGAGATATGAATTTGTCTATTTAAAAGCTGTATTAGAGCAAATTGTCTTAAAACTACGTACAACCAAGGCATATCAAATTTTATTCCCTTATCTGTTGAAAAAGGCATAGAATAGTGATGCTGATAATAATCAATTAAATTGTAAAATTTATTCCTAAAGGTTTGAATATATTGAGTTAAAAAAATTTTGAATGGCGCATATAATAATCAGGCAATTTGAGTTTATTAATTTGCAACCAGAATAGAATGCCTAGTTTCAAACAATTAGAAAACAAATTTAGAGATGACTGTATAAAATGGCATATTTGTCAATCTCTACAAAAGAGGTAGAACAAGCTACTCCTAGATCATAACAAAACATTTTCCTTTTAACAAACTCCTCATTCATGAAGGATTGACCCATAATTAGTCATCACTAGATATCTAAAACAATTATATCATGGGATGGTTTTAATACTTACAATTTTTGGTGGTTCAATTTCATACAAAAAGTTTACTTGAGGAGAAATTTGAAGATATTGTAAGAAAACATAAAGCTCAGCTAGAAAATTATGATCTACTTCAATTCAGTGCTTTAATTGTTAAATTGTGTTTAAATGAGCATAAACTTAGTTTTATAAAGTAAATAACTTCAAACGTGTTTTTATTATTTAATCACGTATACTTATGTTTCAAGCTTTTTATTTAATCATTTAGTAAAGGTGCCTCATTTAAATATACCTCAAGCTTGTTCAAAGGTATCTTGTTGAAGGGCAAGTATTGAACAAATATGCTAAAAAAATTTCAAAGTTGCATAAATTTTTATTGAATTTTAGTGTTTCGTTCATGTGTTAAAGAAATGTATAAGGATTTTCACTTTAATTTCAACTATAAAAATAATTTCTAAAATCATAGGTGCCACTCTGTCCCCTACTTTACAATTCAGTAGTTGCGGTTTTTGTTCAATAAACTCAATGTGGAAGAAAAAGCATTTTTTCATCTGTATTTTGTAACTTTGCGGAACTTTCAAACTATTGAAGTGAAACGAAAAATTTAATTATCAGAAACTTTTCCCCTTTCTATTGCGCTTGAATGATCTTTTTTTTTATAGTTCCCTCTGATTTCGAAAATCACTTTTAAACAGGTTTGTTTAGTCAGAGAACCATTTCAAGAGATTGCCTATAGCTATCGTTGACATACTTTCTGTTGACGAATCAATTTCTTTTAACTTTTTATGAAAGCAAACTTTTTCTTTAAATAACCCTGTGACAGCATAAATGCATAACCTTAAAACTGCTTTTTAGATTCATTTGTCTATTTCATTTCTAGACATTAAGAAGCTTAAATTTAAAGGCAAAACTGTTGATTCACTCATTTAATATTTTGTGGTTTCGATTGAAAATTTATTTTTAATTCTGAGTACTTACCAGGCATAAAGTTAATTTACTAATCCAGTTAATGTTTGCATAATGTTTTGCAATTATCAAGAATATAAATAATTTTAAGACTATCATTGCTGATATGGCAATTTATTTGCCAATGTATTTTAACCTTAGATACCTGATGGACAAAGGCCAGATTGAAAGAATTTTTATACATTAATTGGGGCAGTATAAAATTCTTTCAATACATAAATATGGCTTTGTTAATATTTTAATTAATTTCATACAAAACATTCTACAAATAGGGCCATAACGACCTTACATTGAAAAATCCTTTTAATAAAAGTAAACAGAATCTTACCAGGTTCTTGTAATTGCGTCAGCAAGCAAATTCGCACATGTTTGTGCTACTAAATTCTTTCTAGAAGTGTTAATTTTTTATCATAAATATAAATAAATCTTTATGTATATATGTATCTTTATTAAATATAAATAAATCATAAATATAAATAAATCACAATCTTTAAATTCAGCTTAAAATTTGCAGGATAACTTGTCAACATAACAGGTTAAATTTAAAATGAACAACAGTTCAATGTTTTAAGACCTGAATCTTTAATAAGACTGGTGAATATTTATACATTAAAACGTAAAACTATGAAGCTTGAATAAAATTAAATACTTCGAACTAAATAAAATAAAAATTAACTTTTGAATGCATGCACTACTTTTTACCATAAAGGAAAACCCTAGTAGATTAACTTGGTGAAAATTTCCCATGCTTAAGTCTTTAAAAACTTAATTTTCAAATAGAAATAGTATTAAACCTTTTTAGTCTAAGACTATAAATGGGAAATGATTTATCTTTATAAATTGAGAAAAAAAGCAGTGGCTTTTGCTTTTTGAAATATACCGCAAATATTCACAAAATTGAACGAAATTGTCTAGGATATACAAAAATTGTGCTTTTAGAATGGGTGTTTTGGCTAATATAACTGGATCTCATTTTAAAATTGAAATTGACAATTTTGACTTAAAATTTTGAATAAATTCGTTATAAATTGAATGTTTTTCTACAAATGACTACTAGTACTGAAACCATTACTTATAACATTCTCAATCAAATCAAATCTTTTCAACCTTGAATTAAACCAGGTTACCAAAAATTTTTCAATTTATACTAAAACAGATCTTTACCAGAACCTTTTATTTACATGGTTTTTACAAAAGCTAAGTCTAAAACTTTTAATGCTTTAAATTCGGGACTAAATGTTTAATTAGCTAAACCTCTATTTCAACTGAAGTATATCTGAGGAACAAATTTAGCTTATTACTGTTTTAACCAGTCAAATTTTCGAAAGAGGAACTCAGTATGTCATTGACATAAGAATTAGCGTACTTTGTTTAACTAGATAAGTATTTGACATGCATTGTTCATGTCTGGATTAAGTAGGAAAGTTCTGTATCATTGTCACGCCGATGCCTCAATTATCCAATTGTCAAGACTAGACATGCTCTGAAGATTTGGTTTTTGTTTCTTGCATTTTCAATAAACTAGGTCAAATAGCATTTAATGATCTTAATGTTTAAGTTCATGATCTTGTCGATCATATCTAAAATCTGACCAAAGGAGTTCTAAGAAATGGCAGTTTTAAATTAATAGAATTCGTTCCAGTACTAAGGTTAACTGGAATTCATATTTTTAAACTTTGAATGTTTAAATAATCGAATTTCATCCGAGTGACGAAAGTTTTTAATTTCAAAACTTTTCAATTAAATTAAAATATATCGAACTGAACTATGGGAAAATAAAACTAGAAATTTCCCCCACGTATTTATCGGCATCATGAAGCATCTAAAATTGATGCATTTTGTTTCTAAACTTATTTTGATAGAGCAGTTTTCAATCTTTTATTTCACTATTTCAACTCTTAGGCAATAACTACCAAATATATTACCTAAAATAACATAACAAATTTTAAGTATTAGCTTGTCAGATTTAGCTTAAATATTTTTGTTTAAATTTTTTGAAAAACATAAATAAAACTACAAT